CTCTGTGCCTCACGCCACCCTTCTTTGTCTGGTCCTCCTACTTCTGTCTCACTGTGTCTATTCCTCCGCATTCTAATTGTCTTTCCCTCTTACCTCCAATGCCTTTTTCTTCCGTCCTCATGCAAGCTCCTTGCTCCAAATCAAATTTCACATTTCATGACCACCTCTCCCAAGGCAAAGTCCATTATGTCTGACTGACTATGGTGGGGCTCTGCATGCTATTTTGGTGCTTTTTGGGAGTTGCCTAATTAGTTACTTGCATTTCTGGTCCTTCAAGCCTTCATTTGTTCTCAGTTAAATGAGTCTTCTGCATACACAGGCTTAGATATTTCTGTAAGCCTATGGATTTTGTCCCACCTTCCCTGGAGAAGGAGTAGTAAGCAAGGCAACAGTTATCAACCAAGGTTCTCAAAGATCATTTGATTATATCTAGAGACACTTGATTGTGATAACTGGGGTGATGCCACTGTTGTTAAATATCCTGCAGGGCACAAAACAACCTCTATGACAAATCATTGCCTCATCCCAAATGTCAATGCAGCCAAGGTTGAGCAAGCTTGGTCATGAGTGAATACTTGCTCAGGGCTCCATCAAATCAACACAGCTGGTATGAGGGTCCAGTGACTGTAACTGCTACAGTCAATTTCCAGGGCAGCTGCTGCAACACTCTGTGAAGTGTCTACAACAGTGGCCACGAATCACTTATAAGCAAAGGCTCATTTGTGCAGTCGGCCAACTCCTTTAGCTGTCTGTCACTAGGAGATTTTGTTTTGAGATCCATAAAATCCAATTCCAATCTCAAAAGCTGAATTCATTGGCTCACAGCACCAATCCCCCTGATTTCTTTGTGGTATTTGCACCTGTTGCCTCCATATGGCTTTGATGATATCCATTGTCTCTTAAATTCAAATTTCTCAGATGATGGATGGGCTTAATCTTTCTCCTTGACACAAGCTCCCTGGGAAGGTTGATCTCTTCCTCTTTCAGAAATCTGTATTGCTAAAAGGATTGGAAGGTGGAGTACCACTAAGGAAAAAACGCCTGATAATGCTGCCACAGAAATTATTTGCAAATACTTTCCTCTTGTTGTGAGTTGTTGACGCCATTTCTTTTTTACATAGCTAGGTTGTGTGTGTGTGTGTGTGTGTGTGTGTGTGTGTGTGTGTGTGTGCGCTCACATAGGCATGGGTATGTATGTGTAAGCACACTTACACGAAGAGGTTAATGCAATTAAGTCTTCCTCCATTTCTCTCCCCTTTTCTTGCTATTGTAGGATCTCACAATAAACAAGGAACTTGAAGACTGTGCTAGTCTAGCAAGCCAGTATGCCCCACCAATCCGGTCTCTGTTTCCTTCCCAAGACCTGGAATTAAAGTGAGCTGCTCTGCCTTCTGACTTTGCATGAGTTGTTAAATCTGAACTCTGATCATCATGCCTGCCCAAAAACACTTTATACACCAAACCATATTCCAAGCTTCTGGTTATTAATTTTCTCGATGGAACTCTGTGACATTCAAAGTTCTTTTGGAAATGCAGTATAATATGCCTTGTGTTTTTCTTTTGTTGCTCTTGCTTGTGTTTGATAGAAAAAAACACTGCCTAGCCCAAGATTATGAAGATTTGCTTTTATGCTTCCTTTTGAGAGTGTTACTAACTCTTACATCTAAGTCCCACATCTATTTTGAGATAATTTGAAGTAGGAGGTCTAACTTCATCCCTCACATATGTATATCCAGTTATTCCAACACCATTTGTTGAGCAGACAATTTATTCCATATTAGACTTTCTATTATATTCTTGCCAAAAAACATTCTACCACTAAGCTGGGCTTTCGGTTCTCATCTTTATGTCCATCATACAAATCATCTGCCTTGATGACATATGGCTTTTGCAGTGCACTTTAAAATGGAAAATATGAGTCCTATCATTGTACTTTCTCTGAATATTTTTGCCCTGCTCATGGAAACCCAAGACAAAGGTCCAAAGGTCCAATTCTAGGGGTACCAACACATCATGTCCAGTTATGTTCTTATCAGAAAAATAAAGCTATTGATGGAGGTGCCAGAAAGGACTTTAGTCAATCAATATAGCCATAGTGGGAAGACAGAACTCAGATGTCTCAGCCTACTGTAGGGGTACCAAAAGGAGCTCACACTTAAGGCCTACTGACCTGAGCTCCCATTTAAGAGTCATGAGTTCCCAGATAAAGGAAACCCAGAAGAGAGCTGTAGAAAACACATACAGTTTATCAATCTTTTATGATTATTATTCTCTTACATATTTACATGCAGACCACAGTTTCCCTTTCCTCTCCTCCCAGGACCCCTTCCACCTCCCACCTCCCCTCTCCCCCAGATCCACTGCTCCTATGTTTCCCTTCAGAAAAGACCAGGCCTCCCAGAAATACCAACCAAACACTGCATAACAAGATGCGATAAGACCAGGTACAAAGCCTCTTATCAAGGCTGAGCAAGACAACCCAGTAAGAAGTAAAGGTCCCAAGAGCAGGCAAAAGAGTGAGAGATACCCCCATCCCACTTTTAGGAGTTGCACAAGAACACCTAAGTATGCAACCATAACATAGGCTGTGGCTTGGCTGATCAATACCCCATGAGGAGTCAGGCAATGGTATGACAATCCTTGCTGCATGGGGAATGGAAACTACATTGTTATTGAAAGATGTTTATCCATCAGACATATTGTTGGCATCCAAGAAAACTACAGAAAGAACCACTCAGAACAAAGATGACAAATGCAAGATGGAGGCAGAGATTTCGAGTTTGTCATCCTGAGTGGAGAGTCACCAGTTTCAGCAAGTGTAGCCGCTAAGTCCTCGTGGTGGATCCTTTGTATTTCATAGGTGTTGAGTCTGTACTGATCTTCACCAGTCATTTGTGCCTCAGAATAATTGAATATGATACTCATGCAAACTAGGCTGCTCTTCAATATAAGGAGTATTGGAGGCTGGAGGGAGGATGGTATTCTTACCACTGGTTGAAATAGCACTGACCTAAGAAATTAATGAGCCAAAGAAAGGGCATCCTGTATTTTATATGGGAAGCACTGGTCGTATAAGATGAGAGAAGATAAATACATGGAAACCCAGTGGGTGAGCAGGTAATAGCAATGAGGACAGTTAGGACATATTCCTCTCACCGGGAATAGTAAGTGGTTCTGTCGGCCTCTCACCCTAGAGCTTGCCATTCCGGCATCTCTTCAACCTCCCTGTGGCTTTCCATGATCTACATCCACCAGGGAGGAGAAACCAAATGATTTTAAGGCAGAAAAACGCAGCAAAGCAAGTGCTGTTGTGAAGAACATGGTAAGTGTGTGCTGGGACACAGTAGGAGCTGCCACAAGCAGGGCCGGTGGTCAATGTTCTACAGACGCTGCATCATTCTAAGACTGTGACCTTCAAGGAAATTGGCATTTCTATTCACATTTCCCCTTGGAGACAGCCTAAGCCTTCAGTTTTTGTGGTATTTTTGGTAAACTCTACCAAAAATTTTAGACTGCTGTACCTTACTTGAGAAATGTCAAGTGACATGAGACTTGTGCCAGATTGTCTAACAAGCCTGACACCAGTGTAAATATTACCACAACCCGATACTTTCACACCCAGCACACTGAAAATTAAGCACCATGTGGCAGAAGCTGAGCATTTCTTAGGCAAGAATTTCCTCAACTCTCTGCCTGTTATGTTTTTCTTTTTATGATTGCACAATAAACATCATGCTGAGAAGGAACATTTACAGTTCTAGGAAATACCGCAAAAACAAAGGGAGGATCTCAGATGTGTCAAATCAATCATTTCAATATTCTCACAATGTACTTTCTCTGCAGTTGTTCCCTCAAGGTTTCAATGGCAATCCCTAAAACAATAATTCCATGAAGTACTTTCTGTGTGCCAAGTACTTCATTCATTATTGACAGGAAAACAGGGTAAGAGGCAATATGATTCCTGTATAAATAACAATTTAAGGTAACAATGGGAGACATGTTTAAGGGCAAGAGAAGACTTATTTTTAAAAACACAGAAAACAAAAACAATAAAAGCTATAAAAACCGAGTGGTTTGAGCATCCTTAGTCATTTTAGAAGGTTGTTTAAAGCAAGGTAAATTGTAGGCACAAAATATACTTTTTTTCTCTACTACCATTACACTCGTCTCTCTAATAGGTTTAAGCTGACGAAAATGGAATTAAAGAAAATGATGTGTTTTTGGCATTTTATGTTTTTTTGTGTATGAGTTGAGTTTCCCTTTGTTATTATTTTTGAGGTTGTAATATATTTACACGATTTTTCCTTCCCCTTCTTCCCTCTCGACCCTCCAAGATACTCACCCTTGCTCTTTTTCAAATTCACGACCTCTTTTTCATTAACTGTAATTACACAAATATATATACATATGCATATATGTATGTGTATACACACACCTATATATAGAGTTCCTATATATGTGTGTATATATATGTGTATGTATATATGTATATATACTAATTAAAACCGACTCAGTATGTGTGTTACTTGTGTGTCCATTTTTAGGCTGACCTTTTTGTAAAAGAAAACCAATTGGTGTGTCCTTCCCTGGGGGATCATTATTTTTCCTGCTCTCAGTTCTCCTTAGTTTGTTATGGTTCTTTGTGTAGGGCTGAGGCCTCGTGGACCAAAAAGACCCATTGGTAAGCTGGCTATTGCCACCTTGAATAAACGATTGAACCTCAATTTGCTGACTTATACAATGCCGATGTGAACACGACCTTTTAGGCAACTGCAGAAGCTGCAACAGGTAAAACAACATCTGAAAGGCCCTGTACAGCCTTTGAACTGCGTGTACCCAGCAGAGTACAAGAGCCAAGTTTGCTGTATGCTATCTAAATGACTTTGGTTTTGCTTTCACATTTTGAATTGCTAAGTTTTCTATAGCACCTCTCCAGATGTGAAACAAATGTTTTAATCGGTGGTTGTTCTAAAAGCTCCCCCCCCTGCTCCTTTAAACAGGCCTGACTATGACAGATGCAGCTGTTGGCGCCTTCACGCTATGGGTGGGGCCTTGCGACTTAAAGTGACCAATGCAATGGAGGCAAAAGAACCGAGAGGCTCTTCCATGCGGAAATACGCAACTGTTGACCCTACTCTTCCGTCATCGCGCAAGGTATCACAAGGCGGCGGCAGACCAAAGGGTACTGAGGAACTTGTTCCAGGCCACCATGGGTGTGGCAAGAGGAGAAAGCAGCCAAAACTATTTCCCAGAGTCTAACATTTTATTTATATGAAATTGATTCAAAATTTAGCCCCATTCAGCTCAACAGCTTACAGCAGCATGGTTTCAATGCTGCGTCATAGTAGACAAAAATAATATCTTAGAAAGAGGCCCAGACCTATATCAAATACTTCTTAATAAGTAATAAAATTTTAATACACTGAGCTTACCATAATAAACCTTAAAACACAGGTCTGAGAGCTTCACATTGCTAGTTAGTATTCATGGTGGTTCGAATAAGAATATTCCCTGTGTTCTAGACTGCCACCAGAGGTCATGTCATGTCTGGGCATGGGCAGTTACTAAGGACCATGTCTGGGTCTGCGGCTCTACTACTAGAGTCTATGTTTATGTCCATGACTAGTGTTATCACCTAAGACCATATGGACATCCGTGGTCTAGGCTACCTCCTGGGACCATGTTGACATCTATGGGCTATGTTGCCTCTGGGGCCATACTGATCTGAGTGGCTTGTGCTGCAACCTAAAGCCACGGTGACATCCAGACCCATGATGCAACTGAATGCCATGTCTGGGTCCCTGGACCTACCACAGTCAGGGTCTATGCTAATGTCTGTCACCCTTGTTACCTCTAAAGGCCATGAGGTTACCAATGGTCTGGATTGTTTCTGTCCTGCCTGCTTCCGCAGCCACTTAGTCCCAAATAAACACACAGAGGCTTATGTTAAATATACATATCTCCACATGCTCTTAGCTTATTGGTGATGCCTGGGCCACTTGCTTCCTCGGCAGCTACATGGCATCTCCCAGGTGACTAATTCTCTGTATTCCTCTTCCCAAAATTCTCCAAGTCTGATAGCCCTGCCTATACTTCCTGCCTGGTTTCATCCTGCCTGTCCATCGGCAGAAATAGGTTTATTCATCAGACAATAAGAGAAGCACATATTCACAGCATACAGAAGGATACCTCCCATCACAACTGAGACATGTTGATGTCCAAAGGCCATTCTGAGCTGGCCCCATCCCTTGTTGGCCCTGTGAGAGCTGGGCCCAGTGGTGTAGGTGAGGGAGAGCTGATTCTTGTGGCTTGGGCACAGGAGAGCTGGCCCTGCCCTTCATAGAAAAGGTGGCTCCACCCCTCTATGGCTGACACCTTGGGAAAGCTGGCCCCATCCTTCACAGGAGAGCAGCCAATGATGAGGGCATAGAAGAGTTGGCTCCCTCCATCACAGGATTGAGGGTGTCCCAATGGATGCCTGGGCTTACCAATTCATCTACCACCCAAGCCCACATCTAGGGCTTTGAGTTAGCCCACCCAACATCTACTCCATCTATGACACATAGGAGTGTGTGAAGGGGTTGATCCTGTGGAACCATAACCACAGGATCACTAGGACTTGGGGTAATGGGAGGAAATTCTAGAGGAAGCTTGGTAAGGGTTCAGTATTGATGCTGTAGCAGAACCTAGAGGCCTTGAACCTGACCAATGATTTAATGCAATGAACTTTTACAAGCAAAGCTCTTTGGGCAAAAGGGTATACTGTATGACACATGTTAGCTCCCAATGCCACTACAATGAACTAAGGAATTGAAGTGATTTATTTTTATTTCTGTTTAAAAAATTTTTGGACGAGAGACTTCAAGGGTAGGGAACTAGACATGGAAGGACTGGGAAATAAGTCAGATGGGATACATGATGAGAAATTCCCAAAGAATAAATTATATATATAAAGAGTGACCCTACAGGCTCATATATTTGAATGCTTAGTCACCAGGAGTGATACAATTTTAAAAGATTAGAAGGATTAGGAGGTGTCACCTTGTTGGAATGGGTGTGGCCTTGGCGGAAGTGTGTCACCGGGGATGGGCTTTGCGGTTTCAAAAGCCCATGCCAGACCTTGGCTCTCTTGCTGCTTTTGCCTCAGAAAATATCTCTCAATTAATTTCTCCAGCACCATGTCTGCCAGCATGACTCCATGCTGCCTACCATGATGATAATGGACAAACCTTTGAAACTGTAAGCCAGCCCCTGATTAAATGCTTTCTCTTACAAGTGTCACCTTGATCATTGGGCCTCTTCACAGCGATGTGAAGAATAGTGACTAAGACCATGTTCGTGTGATTAGCAAGATTCGTGTAATGTTGAAAAGAAAGGACTTCATGCTCAGTCTTAATGTGGGAAGACAGATGGTACTATCTGTGAACCTATTCCTTGATCTTCTAAACTTGAAGATACATGACTAAGAGCTCAAATAGAGAATATAGGTCATTTGTGGTTTATAAGAAAATTCCAGTTCCAGCTCTGATTTTGGAATTTAGGTGATGACACTCTATCCTTGCTAACAATGCCATCTACATTGGCAAATTTAATTCCTTTGTGTAAAAAAAATCGTCCACTGTTTGATAGAAAGCTCTTATAAACACCTAGCAAATGAGAATTAATCTTAGCCCTAACTCAAAATTATGAGAAATGCTTTGGCAAGAAATGGCATGTTCAAGGTCAAAGCTATGCATTAGCTATGGGGCTTTGTCAAATTGCTTTTTACTTTTCTGGGTTTTAGTTTCCTAGACATAAAAAGAAGATGTTGGATAATGATACTCAAGATTGAACATCATGCGAAAAATCACAGAGACAGCTGACCTGAGCTTTTGGGAGCTAATGGACAATGGACTGACATCTGTGGAACCTGCATGGGATTGAACTGGGTAAATGTGGATGACAGTTATGTGGTTTGATCTGTTATGGGGACCTATAAGTGGCACCAAGACCTATCCCATGGGCATGAACTTGCTTTTTGAAGCCCATTCCTTATGGTGGGATACCTTGTTCAGTCTTGATATATGGATGAAGGGCTTGGTCCTGCCTCAACTTGATATGCCAAACTTTGTGGACTCCTCAAGGAAGACTTTACCCTTTCTGAGGAGTGGATGTGGGTGGGAAGGGAGGAGGGTGGGAGCAGGAGAAGGGGAGGGAGGAGGAACTGGAGTTGGTGTATAAAATTAAAAATAAATTTTTAGAAAAAGGAAGATCTAACAATATTAACCTATACCATGTAGTTTTAAATAAAATAAAATGATAGCCTCTCTATGGGAGCTGGTACTGCTTACTCTGGAAAAGTAAAAACTCATGATTAAATGAGAAAACAGTCCTCCATATGTAGACACTAAAAACTGATCAAGACGTATCATGAATTAGCATGGTTTTATAACAAGTAAAAGTGTCCAAATACTCCTTAGTAATGACCATGCTGAATACAAATCCTTCTTATCTTCCATCTATATTTGGCCATGGAACATGGTGTTGGACACATGCAGAAGATGTTCCAAACTTGTTTATTGGGTTGTTGGATAGTCTGATAAATCTATGGATGGTTAAATAGAATATGTAAATAATGACTAGATTTCCTTGGCAGGTTTTGTCTGACTCATGCATAATTTACTGTGTAGATTTACTCTTTGTGAAGAAAAGCATTGGGGATGTAAATTTTAAGTGCTTGAATAATTGTTTCAGAGAGCAAACTGAAATAGGAGTCAAAAGACCTTAGTTGCAGACCTGTTAATTAGTGGAGTAACTTTGCTGTGACTATTTCACCCACTGAACCTCAACTTCCTCATCAATAAAATGTTTATTAAAAATGTATCATGTTTCCTGTGAGTGGTTATGAAAACAAAATAGTGTGAAGAAAGGGGAAGCAGTAACAAAATGAAATATACAGCAAACTGAGCATGGCCACTGAAAGAGTGGTTTTTATTCACAGAAGTACAGGTTCTCAAAGGCAAGAACCTTGCGTGGTGATGGAAGTCCTTCTCTGCTTCTCACTGGACCATGAACCTGCCCTTCACTGGAAGTCCAGTGCTTACAGTTCTGCCTCTGGAAAACAAAAGAAAAAGTCTCTTATTATATCCTTGTTCTCAAAGCAGACACTGGTTTTACTTTTTTCTACCAGCATTTTTGCTTTCTCTTTCGAAACACTTTGGTTGAGTTTGTGTTCCCATCATGAACTCTAGATGTCAGTAAACCCTATGTACAACATAAAGACTCCTTTCCAATGACTGCATATATACTCCTTCCCAATGATTACATATACTCGTTGTCACAAGGGGATGCCATCACACCTAGCTCATCAGTGATATACCACTTTCCATTTAAGTTCATCTTTTAACTTAGCATGAACTTGCTCTCCTTTATATCACATAGCTCAATATTTCTAGTTGGGTCCCTAATGTGTATCTTAAACTCAATTATTCCCAATCTTATCATTATCATATATGTTTTCTTTAGAACACAAATAAGTACTGCCAAAACTTTGGAATGTGTGTCAGCTAGTTTTATGTCAGCTTTGGGAAGAGGGGTTAACAATTGAGAAAATGCCTCCATAAGATTGGCCTATAGGCAAGTTTGTAAAACATTTTCTATAGGCAAATTAATGATTGTTATGAAAGGATCCAGTCCATGGTGCCAACCTAGAAGAGTTGGTCCTGGATTGCATTTTCTTATTGTCTTTCTTGCTCCTGAGGAGCAAGCCATTAATTAGCATTTCTCCATGGTCTCTGCTTCAGTTCCCACAACGATGGAGTTCATTTAGTGTTGGCCAACTCCTCCTAGGCTTGGAGCCTACCTTGGAGTGTTGTTGATATACCAATTGAGACTCCATTGGGGAAAACTGATTTTCCCATCACCAAAAGGTATCAATTGGAAGTAGCTTTGCTGTTAGGGATGGGATCCAATGTCCACTCACCTCTCTCAGTACTTGGATCCTGTTTGGCTTGAACCTGTGCAGGATCTGTGTGTGGTGTCAGAGTGTCTGTGACTTCATATGTGTACTAGTCCTCTTGTATCTGGAAGACACTTGTATCTGGAAGACACTGGAAGACCTTGGAATCATCCACCACTTCTGTCTTGCATAGTCTTTCTGTCTCTACTTAGTAATAGACCCCTAAGCCTTGAGGAAGAAAGATTTATAAAGAAATCCCATGTAGGAATAAGTGCTCCAAAGTAAGTCTCTGTACATTGTCCAATTGTTGATATCTTTGTTTATTCTCATCTACTGCAAAAGAGGCCTCTGTGATGAGGATTGGGTGATCTGCTGACCTACAGGTATAGCAGTATGTTCTTAGAAGTACTTTTACTACTGTGTTCATTTAGCAAAATAACAGTATAGGTTTTCCCCTACACCTATGATCTATCTAGTGCTATGTTCCTTTAGCAAAATAATAGTAGATTTCCCCCTACACCTATGATCTATCTAGTGTCAGATTCTTGGTCACTTTATCAGCATCAGTTAGTTATTGGTTCCATCTCATCGAATAAACTATAAATTTCATGTGAAAGTAGTCTGTTACTTCCATAATATTCATGTGACTATTATGGCCATATTCTTGCAGGAAGGTTGCTATTTTAGGTCACAGGGTTTATAGTTTAGTGATATTGATGACTGCCTTTCTTCTCAGGAAGCCCGCAAAGAACCTTCCACCAACATGAGCAATAGTCAGTAGGGGGTGTAGTTTCTGTTCAGACAAAAGCTCTACAAGCTCATTTCCAACAACATAAGTAAGTGCTGTTCTCAGCTGTAGAGGGGATTGCCATCAGGATGTGGGAGAGCAATAAATAGCCTTGGAAACATCCTGTGTTGTTTGGGAGAATCCATGGGACCTCTTTGACCAAAACTCAACAAAATGAAACCCTTTCCTGGCACTAGTTGTGGCTTTATCTCCCGTATTACGTGGTGACTGCATTTAAATTGCTTTCATATATGCATATATTTTAGAAATAAGCAACAATAGTAGGTTCAATTTGGCTTTTCAAAATGTCTTTAGCTTTAGTTGTCTCTCTTTTATTCTTTGGCCTCATCTTGTATCTGCTTCCCTCATTCAATCATCCTATCCCTCTCCATAACACTATATGGTATTTGTTCTTCCTTTGGAGATGTCGTCCTCACCAGGAGTGTTTTGGAGGTCAGAGCATTGAATATTTCTTTACTATCATCTTTCCAATATCTTCTCTTGAGCTTGCTACACCCTCATCTTCCTCCACTGCACTGCTAGACTAGTGTTGTTTCCATTTTCAGTTTGTTTTTTCTTAAATATCTATAATGTGAAGGCACTGGTTTTGCATAAAGAAAGAAGCATTAGGAAATCAGAACAACTGAAGTCTGTACTATAAACTCAAAGGTACTTTCACAGGGATGAAGCTTGGAGACTGAGCCACAAGACAACACAAACACTGGTGATGACCTCTTACTGAATCAGAAAAACTGACAGATGGAGTGCAGAGCTTAGAATTTCAGAACTTTAAGTATCCCTGCTTACTTTACTTTCTTATTTCCAGTTTGAGTCGTATTGGAAATTATATAGGTATATTAGTTTTGAGATAGGTATTCATTGTGCAATGGCCAAGTAAGACTAATAATAATATTAACATCTCCAACCCTTCTCATTTCGTGGTGAAAACATTTAAAATCTAGGAATCTTGATGACCTACTTAATTTATATGTGTTAAGCAAGGAAGAATAAGAGTCAAGAGAGAAAAGAGGAGGGAGAAATAAAAGGAGGGAGGAGAGAGAGAAAAGGAGATATAAAAAACCTAAAACAGAAACCAACAAATAGACAGCAACTTTAGGGACAAAAAAAGAGATAGCTCTCAGCCACCCTATTTCAATAACTAAGAAAGGGTATGCATGTTTGTGTGTGTGTATATGAGAGAGAGATTTCTTGATAATACCTAACAATTTTTAATCTACACAGCTGAATATCCATGAAAATCAATATCAAAGGCCCCTACATTTCTGGCAGGAAACATTAAATATGTGACTATAATAATATTTTATACATTTTTCAGACACAGTTGAATTATTTTTCATGGAAACATATAAATTTAATATTCAGATGATCTAAGCTATCTTTTAAATTATAAGATCATTGCCACTCCATAGTTTGACTAAATTCTTGTATTTTTTAATTTAAGTTAGAAATGATCTTATTTTACATATAAACCCCATTGCCCTCTCCCTCCCATCCTCTCATGCCCCCCACTAACCCTCATCCCATTCCCTTATACTGTATCTTGGTGCCTACTGTTGCCTATTTGGTTTTCTTTTCTTTGCTTGTTCTTAAGGTAACCCTGTAACATGTAGTCTTCCTGCCAACCGCCTGGGCCCTGCCACAGTTTCAGCCCCCAAATAACACACAAGACACTATATTGATTATGAAGCTGTTGGCCGTTTGTTTTGATTTCTTATCAGCTAGCTCTGACTTAACAATTAACCCAAATCTGCTAATCTGAGTAATTCCACGTGGTCTTCTCTTACTGGAGAAAGGGTCTGGACCTCTTACTCCTCCAGTGTCCTACCTCGTGACTGACTATGCTTCTGTTTCCCAGAATCCTCCTCGACCCCTAGCCCCACCAATCTAGCTACCCTATTGGCCAACAGTGTTTTATTTAATCAGCCAATCAGACAAACATACACAGAAAGACTTCCCCTGTCATAACCCTCAATAAAAGTCCATATATCAGTATCCATATTGTCTGTCTCCCAGGGTACACGACAGTGACCCCACCCTACCCTGCTTGTGTTTCTTACAAACAGCCTATAATTTTAAGTCTTCTAGTGTAGCCAACTGGGATAATTTATTATTTTAATTTGTCTTCTACTTAGGTCAATTGGAACAATTTAGCAAATTTCCTGCTGAATTATTTGTTGTTTCAAAGAAAAAAAACAAAGAAGGGATTTTTAAATTTTCCATGGTGTTTTTAGCAGAAATGTTATCAATATTTTAGAAGTATTACTTGAATAGATACAGGCTAGAAGTCACCTCATTGTGTTTCCATTATTTAAATTGGAAACAATCTTATTTTACATATCAAATCCAGTTCCCTCTCCCTCC